TAAAAATACACTGCGGTCATCTTTGATTATCCAATTTTGTTTAGTGCAAAGCATTCGCTGCAGATCAGTCTGCTTATTTGCATGTGTCAGAATAACAACAGAAATGGATTCCCGTGGGCAATGGAAAATGAGTTTTGCACTTGGAAAATAAAATTGTAATAACCACATGGTAAAACTGCAGATGCGGGTGATAAATAAGATTTATCATCAGTCTTACACCATTCACACCTGAAATTTGCCCATAAATCCACCTCATTTGAGGCTTATTTAACGTTTCCTCGAAAGGTGCCCCAGAGCTAGAGATTCAATTTACATAAGAACTGAGAGGGATGAAGAAAGAAAAACATGTTTTCTTCTTTCCTACGAAGTGTGAAACTTCCTTGTCAAATACACACCAAGATGAGTAAATTTCCACCCATGGCCAATTTACATTTTGACTTATTATGCTTTGCAAACATGAAGGAATAAGAAGTGAGGAAGGGGAACTGGAGAAATGAAAGATTTTCCAAATACCCAATATAATATACAGCACTGCCAGTTAATTCTGCTAGGATATCTATATGTATTTGTGAGCAAAGTATATATTTATACTGTTTCTAATTCAAGTAAATGTAATACATGCACATTTAATGTAGATGCATGTAATTTTTTTCCCAGTTTGCAAGGTCTTCACATTTTTGTCATTTACAAGAGGTGGTGAAGCTTTGCTTTCAACAGGTGCCTCTCAGTGTTCCAATCTAAATAAAGTTATCCTTGGTTTCCAAATCTGAGCTGGTAAAAGACCAAGATAACTTTGAAATACTGCATGAATGAAAATACAGATGGATGGGAGGAAAGCGTGAACAGCGTAATAAACAGTAAAGGGGTTTGGCTGTTGACCATATTAGTAATGAACAGGACTAAGGAAACTGAATAGACAGCTCCTCACTGTCCCACTGGAAATACAGGGTAGGTAGAAGGGTATGCTGAAATCGTTACTTTGCAGTCCCATTTTTCCGTACTTTTAGAGCATGTGTTGTGCTTCGAAAGACAAGACACTAGATGGTAGAAGTAGACAATCTTCATAGGTCTTGTCCAACCTTAACCATTCTGCAATGCTGTGCCGCAATGCTTCTGCCAAAAACAGTGGGGCAATTTTCAAACAGGCACCATACAACAAGAAAACCTGGAATTTCCCACCAAAAGCTATAGGAAAATGCTGAAAACACACATATACCATAATGTACACATCACTGAGGAAAGCTGCACCCTTGCTGTCCTTCAATGAGTCCACAGAAAGCACACATTAACATTTCTTAGACTATGCCAGGTTCACTAGCCAAGTGCTTGAAAAAAGCAGGTTAATGTGAGACACCATTTGGTTCCCATGAGCTGCCATCCCTCCTTCAGGGCTCTGAAGACCACAAGATTTAAACAGCTGGTCCTTTTTTTGATGCTTTATTGTGGCAGTGAGGCAGCAGATTGCTTGTATTCCATTTTTCTCGGACTCTTTTTGAAGTGTGAATGAGTATGCATGTATGTTGAAGTGATAACATAAGGACAAGCCACATTTCTAGTAAATACTACTTTAAATTACCCTGGAATGTAAAAGTGCACTTGTGCAAAACTAGCTGCCCAAAAAGGGAAGCAGAGCTGTAAACCATCCTGCCTGCAAGTTGAGCATGTCAGCAGGAGAGTCACTGTATAAGGGCATGTTTACAGGTCACACAAGCCTGCATCTATGCTGAAACTCATGCCCTAAAACACAGAACATGCATGCACTCAATTGCAATAACCTCTCCCATGCAGGACATTGCACCATGGCAGGAAATCAGCTGAGACCTTGTGGTCAGAGGAGACCAGGTTCCTGGGTGAATTTAAGCCTTTTCAGCTCTGTAACATGGGTAGAGGCAAGGAGAGAAAAGAACAGCCTCTCACCTGTGACCAAGCATGTTAGCACTGTGACCCTCACTGCTGAAGCCACCTTCAAGGTGGATTTAAGCCAGTACCTCATTTTGACTCACTCCAGCAGCGACAAGCAAGACATGGTCCAAACTTGGTTCTGAGCTCCCCTCAGCTGAGATGCAGGGGACCACACAAGCCCTTTTACCTGTTTCAGAACAAAATCAAGCAGGCAAAGATGTTGCTTAAAGGGCTTTGCTTCTGAACGTCAAGCAGCTGGACCCAGGAACATCTGCGACAGCCACATAAACCTGTGTACTGGCAGCAGTAATGACATATGGGTAATTATTAGTAAGGCTGATGCTATGGGTAAAGCTATAAACAGAAGGAAATGAAAAATTAAGGTACAAACCAGCTGTTTCTCTTTCATCTACAGACGCAATTTAGTGGTGCCAGAGTGTTATGCAATGCCTGATGGAGAATGTGGCAGGACTGAGCTGGGCAACAAGGCTGATGGCGTCCCTGAATCAGGTAACACTGCTGATTTGCCTCAGGCAAATCATTTAATGCTTCCAAGGCTTTGGACCCTGTTTTGTTCAAGTCTCTATTTTATCTGTAACACAGGAATCATGTCACTAGACTTGGTCATTTCCCTGCTTTATTGGGGACACATCTAGCACAGATAAGTGAAACAAAACCATGAAATTTTTGAAGTTGTAACTTTTGGGATCATAAAAGCACACTGTGTGTTTCCCTATAGAGCTGGGATCTTGCAGTGACACAAGATTTAACTGCTGCACACCTTTGGGCAAGTCTGATTTTGGAAGTGAAGTTACATTCTTGGGAGTTGGGAGGGAATAATTCTGCAATAAACAAAGACTGACACAAGATATAGTAAAGCTTTTGGTGAGATTTTTGAGTGAAATACACATAAAAGCAAATGGAGGCAATGCAGAGGTGCAGTATGAGCCTGCGACCCTACAGTCATTTGGAAAACAATGAAGTTCAGGAACAAGGAACATGTTTGGGGTTGGGAGGAAATAAATCATTGAACTGGAATCTGAAATACTAGGCTCTTCTGTTCAACATACTACTCTAGCATACCCAGCCTCCATCAGATGCCCTGCATGCCATACCAGGCTGAATTCAACCATATGTTTGTAGCTAAGCTATGAAATTCATTTGTCAAGTCCTGGGAGTTTCTGGCAAGTTGTCCTGTACTATATGTGTGGTCTGCTACACTAAAACAGGAGTGCAGAACATTGCAGTGGGTATGCCTATAGAATCCAAAGGCAACACAGCCGATGATTTCCCTGCTCTGACTTTTAGTGCTGTGTAATAATGAATGAAGATAGAGAGGACTCAAGTCAAAGACATTTCAGCACAGTTTCTAGGCTTAAAGCCTGCTGAAGACTGCTGGAACAAGCTATAAATACATATTTGAGCTCCACGCCAACTGTGTAAATTCAGAAGCTGCCTGCTTTATTCAGGGACTTTATACCCACCAGAGAGTCCGGAGCCTGTAAGACGAGAGGCAAGTCAGTGGCTGGCAAGAGTCACATTTTCCTTGTGAAAGGGGATGTGGAAGATGCTAGGACAATGCAGGGGTGGATGATGGATAGGAAATACTTTCTCATGTATTTTGAAAAGAAACACATAATCCAGAGTTATGGGCCGCCATTAATCAGGCCCAGAGGTGCCAAATCTTGCAAGAACAGCCAGAGGACTTGGCGTCATTTGTAAGCTATTCCTAACTGACCCCTTATTGTGATATTTGCTCAAATTCTAGATCCCAGTTCAAATATCACCACCTTGGCCTACAAACAGTTGCCTAGTGGCTCTGATTCACACTGATTCACAACTGAAGATAAATCTTTCTGCTCCGAAATGAAAGCAGAAAGCTGCTGAGAAATTCAGTTCCTCTGTCTTGTGCAATCTCAGACCAGTAGTTTTTGCAGCAAGAAGAGATCAGCCCTCTTTCTTCAACTGCTGAGCCCACATCCTCTTCCCTGCCATGTAGGTTGCTACAGGCAGTTCTGCCACCATGTTTTTTCATACATGCAGAAAGGAGGCAGAACTGTCAGAAAGAAGCTTTGCAACATTTTTTGATAATAGCATGAAGATTTCTTTTTAACAGAGTTAAACAACAGGCTGCATGACAGGAAAAAGCCAGGATCTCTCAGCCTAGCAAGATCATTTCATCTTCAGAAGGCCTTTCAGCTCATGAAGGTGACCAGGTACCATCTAACCTTTTCCGTAGTGAAAACAAGAGCCATGAAACTACTGCTACATGGAGAAGAGCTGTTGTTTCCCCCCCCCGGTGACAATGCAAATCCAACTCTAAGGCTGCATGCTGACACCTCTAGTCCCCCAAGCAACCTAGCTGCACCTTAAGTTGGGTTCTTGGAGACTCTTCAGTTCTGCTAAGATGTACAAACTCAAATAGCCCAAACCTCGACAGCCTGCACATTTGGGGCTTGACTGAGTCCTTGTGAAAGCCAAACTATCTCAGTTTCAGCTGAGGATGACAGAAGACACAGGCACTCAGTGCTCTTCATCCTCCAATCCCAAATGTTTATCCAGCCTTCAGGCTCTAGAGGACAAACCTAACTCCTCTGTGAAAGATGCATCCAGGCAAAACCAGCCACAGTTTCTCCCAGGTAATTTGCAAGATATTAATGTTTCAAATTTTCCCATTAAACCAGAGAGAAAATCATAACAGTGCCATCCAGGAAGGATTTATCCATAACATGTAAAATGCATTTCCTCCTTTTGGCATAGGGAAAGCAGCAGAAGAGATAAAAAGACAGTTTACAAGGTATATGCCACACTCCAGACTATGCTCTGACAGAGCAACATCTCTGAGCAGAAATCCACCTACAGATGGCTCCTAGTGCTATACTGTAGTGGTTGTTTCCCATCTCCCACTCATGTTATATTTATGTGCTAAGTTTCAAACACCCAATGATCCAGGCTGAGGTCATAGGACGCTCTGGTGAAGATCAACTGCTATTTCCCTGCTCCTGTCCCAGCACAGCAAGGGGGGTGGCAGCATCAGGCTGGCCTTTCTATGGGGATGAGTTAGCGTCATCCCTGTGTGTTTGGTCCCAGGTACTCACCTAAGAGCTGCACTCCACGGGTGAGTCCATAGACATCGATCAAAGCCCAGAGAGGCTCTGCTGTCCTCACCCCACTGAAGAAGAGCATCGCAGCGGAGTCATTCACCCGATAGAAAACCCGTCCCTTCTTGTCCACCCAGAAGGCTATGATGTTTCCCTCATTTGCAAACTCTTCTGGCAGAGCCTTGGCCCAAAAACCACTTTGGGAAACCAAGTCAGGGCACGCATACTTCGGCAAAGTGTCAGGGTTAATCCTCGATGGATCCTTGGAAGTAAACCCAAGCCGAAGAGCCCCACTCCAGCAGCACTGCTTTTTAGTGATCTGAAAAGATAACAACAACAATAACAGCATTTGGCACTTGAACATCCATTTACACACTACAAGGTTTATGTCATCGAGCACAGATGGCCACTGTGCAGATGAGCCCTCTAGATTTAGGAAATATTTTACCCACTAAACACCGCTGCAGCTTTTTCAGTTGCAAGCAGTAATGCTGCACCCTTAGGATGCAGTGTACATAAAAAAAAGGAAAATCAAATCTATGCAGAGAGGTGAAATGTAATTACAGCTGCATGATGACTCACTTCTATTTCTAGGGTAACTCCTTTTGGCCTAAGAATCATCCTCTCACAAAATATGCCAAAAATGGCCATAAGAGCTTTCATCTCAGCACCTGCAGCAGCAGAGCTCCTTCCCCCTAGTGCTCACATGATGCGATCTCTCATGACCTGAGGGAAAAACACTCGCTCCAGAAGCACAGTCACCACTACAGGGGTTTTCTGGGTTTCCCAGCCAACTAAAAGACAGTCTTACACCATTTAGCTTGTCAGATTGGATGAAGTCACAGCCTCACAGCAGAGAACATGTGTGTGGGAAAGCACAATTTAAAGTATTTAACTATGTTAAATACACAATTAGGAAGCAACAATAGATGTTGTCTTACGATGGGGGGAAACCTATTTATCAAGATACGTTGCACACACCTGCACCCCCTGGTCTGGGGTCAGGAACATCTGTTATAGTCATCTGGAACCAGGACAGTTCTTGCATGACAGTTGGCACATGGTGTTTCTGTTTGCGCACTGAATCTGAAGCAAACACGAGAGCACTTGAGGTAGCCCTCTTCCATCAGAACATTGGCAGCCTCAAGCAATTTCACTCTTGGCTCAGGACAGGACCAGAAACATGGATGGTACCACCTACCAGATGTCACACAAAACTTGCTACCTTACTGTAATTTCTTGCTTTGCCAATGTGCAATGGCTCAGATGAGTGGCATTGCCAAAGACTGAACTGGCCAGGACTGTAGGATTTTGTCCTCAGATGCATGGCAGCAGCCCCTTCTATCCTAATTTGGAAACCCAAGGTTTTCACCAAGGGATTGGCCAAGACATTTTCTCTGGTCTTCTGAATTCTCTTCTAATCACATTTATAAATATTGCATTTTTCTTTCACATGTTCCTTTCCAAGGTAAATCTGGAACGTGTGCCCTTGGGGGCACAACGATCTCACAACAAAGATATTGTTCAAAGCCTAGAGATTTCTATTTATAATTAAACTATTGGAGAAAACTCAGAGCTTCAGCAAAAATTCATCAACAGAGTTCCTCAGTTAAGCCAATGCTGCTCTTTATCCCTACTCAGTCCAGCCAAGCACCTAAACTGTTTACATGAAACACTTGAGCACTGACCTCAGTCCCAGGAACCATGGGAAGGTCTTGCTTGTGGGATGGACATGAGGGTGGCACTAAAAAGGACTGAAGCAGATTTGCTCTTTTGTATGTCTAGCCAGGGATGGAGTGGGATCATGCATGTCCCCAGTGGAAAGGGGATGCATGAGGCATGCATGTGACAAAATGGGAAATACACACACACTCCAAGAAAAAGCCTGGTTTATTTATTGCAGCAAATTTACTGAAAGACCTAAAAGCTTTTGGGTCTGAGATAAATATGGCCTCATTGTTATTTGTACAATTTACTCTTTCACAGTCTCTTGCCAATACTTCACAGCAATCACAGGCCACATGAAGTAAATATTCATATGGTAATTGAGGCTGTACATGGTCCATGTATTAATCAGCACCTATAAACAGTTCTCAATACAGCCTGACCACAGGCAAACTAATATCCAAATTAAAATCTAGTATAAAGCCTGCCAAGAATTAGACATAACTGGACAAAGAGTATACAGTTTTGCTAAAAAAGGCAATGGTTAATGATGGACTAAATTCTCTTCAACAGCCACTGCTAGCAGAAAAGCTTGGGAGGTCTACTGGATACCAGAAGGGAAGGGGAATCTGCATCCACACTGCTAAGCTATGGCTGCTTCCACAGATTCAGACTTCTGCTCTTTACTGCCTTATGCCACTTTTGACAACCTCACTCCCTAGCATTCCCTAAATTACATGGAAAAAACATACTGGGATGTATATCTTAGAGGCAAAGAAAGGAAATCTGGCAGCTTAATGGCATTCCCAAAGCCGCAAAGCAATCTCAGAATAAAGCCTGGGATACAGTACCAAATAAACAGAATGAAATCTCTTCACTTCTTTCCTCTAGTTTTCCAAAGGGAATTCAGACTTTATAGGACCTGAATGACTGGGTTCCTGGTTAGTCTTGCTGGTAAGAAGGTTTCAGATGCCATTTTCCACAGGCACACACAATAGCAAGGCAATTGCAGGATGAAATTATCAGAAAAGTCAAGATGTTTTTACATTTCCACCCACCCCTAGAGTACAAGTTTTGCTGAAGCCCATTTATTGCTCCTGTGAGACCTTCCTATTGGACTCAACAGGAGCTCTGCTGATAAATCCCTTGTGCAGATTTGCGTGTGTATTTTTCACATATATTAGATACAAGCTAAAATCCTAAAATATACAGTAATAAACAAGTGCAAGTTTCCAGAGTTAGCTTGTTTCAGAACGAAGAAGAAATAACCCTGAATCCCTGCCTAAACCACTAAACCCACTCAAATCTTCGATGGTGTTTTCAAAAATGAAACACTGCTTTCATCTCCACCCAAATAATTTTTTGTGGTTGTTTGTCCAGACTTCTGGCCAACACGGAAAAAAATCCCACTAGGCAATGTGAGTGAGTCCTGCTGGGTTTCTAGGCTGAGTAGAAGTAGCAAGAGCTCCACAGGAAACATAAACCTGTAGGAGGTATTTTCTATCTATGGGCCCAAGCCTGATATCGCTGTATATTTTCAAAAGGAGGCATCTTCCTCATTTCTTGCTCCTTTGCTGGCCGTAAGAGAAGAGGCAGGGAAGGCTGATACACTGCTGTAGGTCCCAGACTCACGAGATACATGCAGCTAAACCTCCTGGAAAACTCCTTGTGCATAAATGAAGGATTTGCAAGCCGATCTTTCAACTAAAGTTGCCAAAGATGACAACTTACTTTGTGCCAATGAAAGGCATGAAATCAGCTATGAACAGAAAAATGCAGTCCCACAAACTAGAGGGCATAAAGATCAGAAAGTATCTCTGGATTAAGTTTGAAGTGCCCCAACCTCCTAAAAAGTGTTTCAGTTCCTAAGAGGACTGATGAATTTCTTCACTGGGAAGCTGTTGTCATGCTGTCTTAAAGGAGCTGAACCTTCCATGCCAACTGCAGCACAAGGGGTGCTAACTCCATCCTCCTGGTTACCACAGACACAAAGGAAGTGAAATCCGCCTCTGCCAGCAAGAAAAATGTGATGCCTGCAATGTTCTCTCTTCTGACCTTAATGCTATCAGTGGACTGATTCAACAAAGCAGTCAGTAGACCTCCTAGAAAGATACTTTTCTTGCAACTAAGATGACAACTGTGACAGAACTGACTGCCTCTTTCATCCTTTCAGCCAAACCCTCTTACCTTCCCTGCTAAGCCTATGAGCAAGCACCTTCACTTCCAGGTCCCTTTCACCTCTTATCTTTCGGCTTTGGAGAGGCTGACTTCCACCTCCATGAGACCAGCCCTCACTGTTTGCCTTGTTTACAGGAAGAAAAGGGCTTGTTGTGGAACTGAATGCATAACTACTCACCTCACCTCAGCCCATTCATGCAAAGCCTAGAGGACACACTGGCTAGAGAGATTCTGAGGCTGCAGTATTTCCAAATGAGCAATACAACCCTTTTTTCTTGCTGTTTTCCATGCAATCTTAATATGCTGTTTCTTTTCAAACGTCAAGATAAACTCTTTCAGAGTATGGATTTCACTTTAGTCCCCAGTTTCTACAGCAGTCTGTACCAATGACTTCAAAAACTATGGTGACAAAAGCAAAAGTATCAACAAAGACCACAGATCTTTAAGGCCAAGATCAGCCTATTGTGCTTTTTGATGAAGGGCTAAACATCTGGTGCAAGCACCAAAGCCCAACATCTATTCACAGCAGCTTCCATGGCAATGAGGAGAGGTATCATTTACTCACCTTAAGCCTGACTTGTTCATAAATAACAATGGGCCTGTTGCTGAAGGTAATGGCATTGCAGAAGCTAGCCTGGCGCTTCACTGCCTTCTGTGTCGTGTCCATGATGATCTGGGATCCCTTTGTGTGAGGATGGAAAAGCAGAGGGCTGATGGACAGAGCTCCACACTGCGGGATGGGGAGACAGTGCTTCTGCTTGTGGTGGCATCGGTGGGAGGAAGTTGAAAATGACCCACCTATGGAATCTGAAAGGAGAACGAGGAAAAAAGGGTTTCACATCTGCTTTGAGTAGACAAAATTTTCAGCGCAAAAATAAGCAGGAGTACTTCATAGGGAAGCTACAGATAAAGATAAAAGTCAGTCAAATCCCTACTTTGTGTGTTACTGTGGGTTTCTAGAGCATCTGGAATAATAAAAGGCTACGAGGATACAAAATGCTCCCATCTGTATAGAGCACAACATGGAGATCACAGCCCAGGACTGAAATCACAGGCCATCATGAGGCCACACATTGGAAAAGAAGGAAGAATTGGTTCCAAAACTGGAGCAAAGCACATGTGAAGCTGCTGTATCAAAGTTGTCACACTTTGGGAGAAATCTTCCACTTCTAAGGAATCCCACACAACTTGACCTTTTATCTCACTCCTCCTTTGCAACAGCACCTCCATTGATCCTTGCCTCCATGTGTCTTTGGATGCTGTCCTATCCGCCCATGCTAAGTGCCAGCTCAGGCACATACATTGCTTATTTATACTCAAACACCACTCAGCAATAACCCACCTGGATCCCTCCACCAACCACCATTCATTTTCCTCTCTCCTCCATAGATGGGAACCTCAGCTGAGTTCCCACTTGTCATGAAGGTATTGATCAGCACACTATAATTATGGTGAGGAAAGAGAAGTGGGAGAAAGGCTATGAGGCAGAGAGGAGATTACATCTTTCTCTAACCAAGGCCCTACACAAACAGTCAATGCACAAACAACACAGTCACGACAGCAGCTTTGTTCATGAACAAATGGATGCAGAGTTTCTTTTCAGTAGAGAGCCTGCAGCACTTCAAGCACAAAACAATCATTATACCAAATGCAAGTTGCCTGCTTCCTTTTCCTTGTGTGCATATACACACTATATTATGCACATACGTTTGGGAGGACATACTCATAGATTTGGAAACAGAGTATCAACAGAATAAAGGATTATTCAGCGATAGACTCAAGGATGCAACAAAAGTAACTATGACCTTAACAATGTGCCAATTTGTGCTGTAAAGATGCATGACTAAACAGTATGGTTATAAACATCTATTCCTCAAACATACAAACTATAGAAACTAATTATGTGCGTTCTTCATGCAAATTATTTGCTGACAGTTACATCTTTATATAACTACTATAAAATAATGCTGACACCTCTAATGTAACTCTTTGTAATAAAAAGCCTGGACTTACTCCTCCAAGCCTTTGGGGTAGTTTTAGCTTGTAGCTACATGAAGTTGTAATGGCACATCAATAGGGTGAGCCTGAATAACTACCAACAGAATATCCTGGTTTTTGAAGAGAACTTTTTAATTCAGCTTCAGCATCAGTCACTTCAGCCTTCTCATCTCCTTGCTGGTTTTAGCTCCCATTTTCAGCAACAGTATTATCACTTCAGAACAGAGCAGCAAGGCTAGACAAACAGGGCTGTTACTTTTAAATGCTTTCATTAATGGTTTTAAGGGAGAGAGGAACCCACTGGGAGCTATTTGACGCTAAAAATCTTGTGGAATGTAAGTCATCTTCCTTCGCCTGTTCCCACCACACACAGGAGAAGAAATAAGGAGCTTGACATGGTGAAGGGAAGGTCAGGATGGAGTAGCTCGCGTGAGTCTGACCTTTTCCCTTTGGTCATGCTACTGACATGGGGCAGTGTATCCTGCCTCTCCCCACACCCCAGACCAGGTGGTCAGAAGACAACACAAGCTGCAGCAGCCCTGCAGATAGAACTTTCTGAGGTAACTTCCTAAGACGTGTTTAATTGGAGCCTGTCTTATGCCCCAAAGAACAGAAAATTTGACTTGATGATCTTAAAGGTCTTTTCCAACCTAGTCAATTCTATGATTCTGTTATGTGTGTAAGATTGAATCCCTTCCAGTATCACTAGCTTTTTTCCAAACCAGGTATGTTTTCTACTATCACCACACTAAGCCCTCATCTTTAGCAACACCTTGCCAATGAATTCCTCAGGCTTAATGGCATTTTGCAAAGAAATACTTCCTTTATCATTGCAAACATGATGCTGTTCATCATCACAAACGGTTATGAGTCAGAGCCAGCAAGAGCGGCTGACTTAATCTTTCTCCACTCCACCTTCCCCAGTGGGTCTGGCTGGTCTGTAGGGACGAGACTGCTGACAGACGGTCAAAGCAAATCATCCCAGCTTCTCTTTTAGCAGAAACTTTTCAGGCCACTGGATCTCCTCATTGCTCATCTCTTAGCTGTCTCTCCATTTCTGCTATACCCCTTTTTATAGGTAGACTAACTGAAAATAAACATCAAGCATAGAAACTTCCATTCCCAAATTTTTCACTTTCTCTAAGATATATATGAGGTCACAATGATTTCTGAAACATATTGCATATTGAAGGATATATTCAACTGTCTGAGATTATTTAAAGTCAAGCGCCCCATAGAGAAAAACTCTTTCACTAGTAATTTCCAGTCTTGTTTTATTCAACATATTTTTGATAGGGTGCATATTATGTGAAAGGGAAGAAGCTACCAGTGACTATACATTAATTTCATGTCATCTTTACATCCAGACCTGAATTTTGTAGCTCAAACTTTTTGCTGGCAGTCACTCACCAAAGCAAACTTGTGCAGTGCAAAGGCACACACATTTTAACCTGATTGCAAATCTCAGTGGTCTAATTTTACCAGATAACTTGGCTGTGATAGTAGCTGTTGCACCTCTCCACAGGCCATTGTGCCCTTTTAAAATGCAGTAATGGAGTTACAAAAGCTTCCCACAGCTTCCAAAACAGGCTCTGATAACAACAGTGTATGTCCAGAGCATCTGCTGGAGCAGCATTTTGGAGCTGTAGGGTCCTGCCTGGCCCCACGGGAAGGATGCCAGAGGAATGCTTATTTGCTGTGATGGTCCAGCACTGCTAAGTGAGAATGGGTCAAACCCATGCCAGACCAGCATCTGCAGGGTGAGTGCCCCCCATGAAGACAGCTGAAAAGCAGGGCCATCATGCTCTATGGGAATAGAAGAAACACCCCAGGATCAGCTTCCATCATTATCCATGGATAATGCAAATGGAGAGAAGATCTCCTTCGTTCTCCCAAATACCCTTACACAGCAATGACTCTTACATGATGAACACGCTCAGGAAAGGACCAGAAAAAGTCTTCATTTTAAAAACGGACAACTATTTAATAATGGGGTTTTGTACTTTACAAGTACCTGGAGATGTTAAAGCAATGGGTCAAATACAAAGGCCTTTGCTCAACTTCTTCAGGGCAGCATGTCCACTCCAAAAGGAGGAGACACCATGTAACTTCAGATGGCAACACCTAACGCTGGACTTAGACAAGGAAAGGGGTGCTTTAGCAACACAAGCTGGTGAGATAAATTGCTTTCCTTACTTGGCTGGCTAAAAATAAATCATCTGCTTAAAGTTTTTGTTCTCACTGGCTGGACCTGGACTCCAGCCTTCTCCCATCCCTTGTTTACACTACTACGCATTTTGACATCCTCAGCCTTTGCTACCAGCAATACTGGTACACTACAGCTGGAGCCCTTGCTGTAGGTTTCAATTACTTTTTTTGAGTGAAACTCACAAACCCAGAGTTTTGGCTGGCAAAAAGAGTCAAAAGTCCTCCTGATTTCACAGCAACCGTGCAAGACTTCATTAACCGAGAGTCTGTCCCAAGACTTCTCCTCTGTCACAACCTGACTTACCAGTCACCCAGCAAAGATGAAGTAACTGCTTGAAATAAAAATTGTAAACAATTAAGTATCTGAAAGAAGTCTGAAATATGACAGCATGTTCAGGGACACTGAAAGTTTCCCATTCCACAGTATAACACAACTTCCCCCCAACAAGCAGGAGTTGTAACAACATGCCATGACTATGCAGACTGGTATCTCATGACAAAAGTCACAACAGGAAAATCATGCCTGTTTGCAAACAGCTTCTGTGTCAAAAGGTTACAAATCTAGAGATGCACCATGGACCCAGTATAGCTTTCCAAGTTTCATGTTGGAGGTCACATAAAACGGCATCTGCTCACTTGGAAGATTGGAGAGACATCAGTTTTCAATTCATGCCCAATAATAGATGCTGTTTGAACCATTTCTGTCAGTACTGGCTTTGAACCCCAAACACAACCTGCCCCTAATACCATGAGCCCTGCCAAGAGAGTGGCAAAAGTGGTAATGTACCGCTTGCTCCCCTGAGCCACAAACATGTGGGCTGGATCTTCTGAAACCTTTAGTAAACCAAGATGAAGGAGATGTTAACATGAACCACAGTCTGAACCACTCAGCTTTCAGTGTCCCACACATAAGCACATCCTTTTGGTGGCCCTGTTTGAGAAAGCAGAATATTGCTTCAAAGGGGCTGCACTTCTCCCTCCATGTGCATTAGATGTCCCTGGTCTGGATCTCAAAGCCTGAGCAACATCCACATACTATATAGAAGGCAGGACTGGATGTTCTCAATGTAGCAAAATGTACCCCAAAGCCTGTTAGGGGTTTTCACCAGAAGCATCCATTCTCTGCAAATATACACATAATCCTAAAGGCTTGGGATTTCTTCAGTGGTGCAAGAAACGACAGGATTTAAGTTTTTCTAAAGGCACTTTTTCCAGTTGAAAAAATCTCAGCACAATCAAAATGCTGTCAAAACTCATTTCAGACTGAAAAGCAACTGCAAGGTATTTAAGATGAACTTCTTGGAGCATTTGGAGTAAGTGGCATTCAGAATTGAAAGAAATAGAAAAGATGACTTCAAAACAGAGCCCAGGGACTAACACACAGTTGCAAGTGGGAGTGACAAATCCCTGTCCACCTGGGGAGAAGGAGAGGGAGAAGTCTGGAGCTAGTGACAAAGGTGCCTGTTCTGCAGGATAGTGACAGTGAATAGAGTGGACAGGGCAGAGCACCACACTATGAAAGCAGAAAAGGGTTTCAAAATCATTACGTTATCAAAAGAAGGTGACAGAGAGTGCTTTACCTGGCAAGTGGCCTTACTGTA